GGTAAACACTCACAATTGTATCATAAAGTACCTGAGCTGGTTGACTTGAAAATTAAATACAACCACTCACTACTGCTATATTAACCCATCGTTTTCAGCACTGTGTGCTAAACCAGTGCCTTTTCTCTCTTTCTCTTTTTCCTCTCTATCGTTCTATCTCTCTCTTCATGCTTTCCTTTTAGTGTCGCTGAGGACAAACCAGAGTGTGACACCCCCCCTGAATGTTTTAGCCAATCAGATGTCGACCCAGCTCCATCCCAACCAGTAACCATCCAAAGAGAGGAGAGAGCAGATGGTCCTCCCAGGAAGAAGTTTCTGAGGGCAGGCCTTTACTCTGATGATTACAAAACGACTAAGTGAGTTGACTAAATTCATAAACTCACTTATAACATTGTTCGTTGTATCGTTTGTAAAAAAATATGTATTTAATGTGTCTCTTTCCTAGTCCCCCCTCCGAAGCCCAGCAGCTGGGCAGAGAGAGTATGGAATACACACCAGAGGAGCATGAATATAGCCTTTTACCTGCTCCCATACATGTTGGTGAGTATATAAGAAAATGCAAACTGCTGTAGTTTGTTGTAGCTGTGATAGTTCATCCAAACTCCCTTTGTGTCCTCTAGGGAAGTACCTTAGGCTGAAGCGGATTCATTTCCAGTTACCTTATGATGTTATGTGGCTGTGGCAGCATGATCAGGTACAGTAGAGCCCCATAACACAGAATTAGAAAGTTGGAAGGTCGAGCTGATGCGTCTTTGGAAATGAGAAGGAGAACAGGAGATTTGTGAAGTGTTTTGAAAGTACATGCAATTCTCATGTTGTGTTGTTACAGCTTCACAGGCAGCCTGCTGTGCCCCTTAAAAGGAAGCGACGTTACTGTGAGTTGCCAGTATTGGATGTACTATCTTCAGGTTTGGTTGATGGATCAGATCAATACTTATACAGTGTCTTACTCTGTTTCTCCATCTCTGTTTCACTCAGGCCGGCTAAAAGAGAGGACTGTATCCCCTCACCAGACAGTGGTGAGTTCATGTGGCTTGAAGTTGCTTCCTCCCAGTAAAGAATGCAGCTTTAACAACTGTTAAAACTTACACGTGTCCCACCATTTTCTTATTTTACAGGAGGAGAGCTCTAGTGAAATCACCAGCCTGTTTCCTCACCTCGACATGGATCCTTTGACCAGCAGTGAGAGGTACGGAAAGAACATAGCGAAAAACATTTCAAGATAAACCAGTTGACGCATTGTTGCTGAACGAATGTCAGGGTGGATGGCTAATGTTTCTCCCTGTGTGTCCGGGCCAGGAGCTTTGTGGTGAAACACCATGTGTTCCTTGTGAGGAACTGGGAGCTTGTGAGAGACAGACAGATCCGACTGAGGATAGAGAGGGAGAGAGACGCAGAGGGAGAGGAGAGGGACTCACAACGTCTGTCCTGTGATGGAGCCAATGGGGACGACAGCCACATCAAGTCAGGTCCATGAAGCAAGTGTGTGTGTTAGTTTTTGTTTCTGTAGGTGTTTGCGAATGCATTCATGAATGTTGTTGAACTCTCTATATGATCATTTTTACCGTACATCAGTATTGATTTCATCTGGTGTCTTTTACTTTATGTGCGCATGTGTGTGTGTGTGTGTGTGTGCGTGCTCATATTTGGCTTGTCTCTCCATATCATACTCAGCAGCACCAACTAAGTGGTTTTCCAACCACAGAATTTCAGCCTGCAAAGATGTTTCCCCATTTCTGTCATCCACCACTGGTGTCCAAGAACCCAGCAGGCATCGACTTTCCCCATTAGCAGGGAAACCACACAGTTTCCATCAAAGACTCCCTGACTGATAAATAGGAATGAAGGGGAAATAAGGACACTGGCATAATTACAGCTATATATGTAAAAATAAATGATATGCTGTTTTCATTCCCTCCTGCAACGCCTTTACTAACATAAAGAATACCATTTCAACTGTGACCTTCAGATCAGCCAGTGGGGGTGGAGGTGACGGTTATCAGCAGTGTCCCCCAGCATCAGAGTCAGGACACCTCCAGCTTGCTCACTGCCAGCCCCTGTGTGAGTGAACAAATTCAACACTACCCATGTAAAAAAAAAGAGGAGAGATCTTTTCTTTTAAGAATGCACATTTCCACGAGGATAAAAATCTGCTTTTGTAATTAGTTGTGCATACTTGTTCACCACAGCCCACCAAAACCCAGATCAGACAAGAGGAGGAGGGAGTGGAAGAAAAACGAGGGGAAGAAGAAGAGGTCTGCAGCAGAGAACAGAGAAGGAAACGGCTGAATGATTTACTTTTGACACTGCAGCATTCATAAGCTAACAGAAAGTGGTGAGTAGAGCATTAGATACAGGAGGGTCTGTGCGAGGTATATGCATTGTTTTGTTGATAGTATTTTGCCTTTATGTAGGTGGGATCACTCTGAGAAAGGGACCAGGCCCACCCCTGGACAGATGGACAGGAACTGATGTCATAACACTGCTATTACAAGTAGCAGTGCCAGAGAGAACAAGGGAGAAAAGGCGGGGAGAGTTGGAGAGTAATAGCGGCTGAAAATGCAAGAAAGACATCTCACACACTGACAGATGAGTGTGTTGAACCTAGCGCTCTGAAGGGCATCACACCAAGGATGAAACCATGGTAACACATCTTTTGTCCAAGCGGCGAGGGATGAGAGAAACAGAGATAGACTGTCCCGGATGAAAGAAAGAAACAGACCAGCTGAAATGAATTTGCACTAGTGCTGGATAAACAAGCACACTAAAGACTGTATGTATGCTGAGTGGACACACTATAAACACACACACATACACTTTGATTGCTCTTACTTCGGCACCTTAGGCAAACTGGGAAAGGCAGACATTGCTTGTAGACTGAAAGTGGACATATATGGTACTCAGCATTTCGGCTCTGAAGTTTTCAAGAGACGAGGAGCTCACAAGCTGCCCGGGGGGAACAAAAATGTAGCCTGGGTCCTAAGTAGGTCAGAATTGAACCCTCGTTTAATTGTTAAGCTTTCAAAGTCACATTGCACCTTTGGGAAATGACACGAGGTGAAGTGAACCAGTTTAAAGCTGTTGAGACAGTGTTAGGGGTTTTCTTCACTTTACCAAAACAGTGTCTGCTATGTACCAGTGAATAGGCAGGGGAGGGGGTGGGCTTAGTGATAGGAATTTTGGCATCGCTGCAAGAGAATTTCTAATGAGGTTTTAAAAAAAAAGTTATTTTTGAAAAAAAAAAAGACAACTTGAGCACTGTCAGCTAAAGAAATGGACAAGATATATTCATGATAGGAATGTTTATTGTTGACTATTTTCAGTATTGCTTCCTGGGGAAGGGGGGGGGGGGGGGGGGGGGGTAAAAAGTGTTTTGTTTACTTCAGACTGCCTTTGAGAATGTTTCGCTCTTTGCTCCAGAGCATTGACAATCAGAATGTCCTAGGGGAAGAAAAGAGAGGGGAAAGGGAATGAAAACTAGAATTGATTTGCCCCAAATGCTCTGTAGAAGTGCCATGTTGTCTTGTGTACGTACCTAAGCGAACTCATGCAGTCTTTAAAAGCAATATCTCCTCTGATAAGGACTATATAAGGACTTCCTTTGTTATGTTTTGGGTTTTTTTAAGTTGTGAATATTTGAGGATTGGAGGTCATTTTTCTGTATAGTTACATAGTAGATTGTTCTCATCTTAGGCGCGTTGGGCTAATCCACCTAGTGGAAGTAATCATAAGTGTTTAGTTTCATGTGAATGTACATAGAGAGAGACCTGTTTTCCTTCTATCAGCAGTAGCGTGTAAAATTAGTATTATACATGACAATACTATTGGGATTATACATACAACTTAATATTCAATCTTTCATTTTACTAACATGTTTTTAACCGATTAAACAGCTGACCAATATATCAGTTATTTCTCCTTAAAATTGACAATGATTGTATATGATTTTTTTGTAGAATTACATAATTTGTCTCTTTTTTTTTAGGTGAGCGTACCTTGTTTTTTTGTTTTTGTATTGGTCAGACAATCAGTGACAGTGAATTAGTTTTTCCAGTGTTAAATTTCTGCTCTCTTTCAGTAGTATGGTTTGTAACAACAAGCCAAGAAAGTGCAATTTCTTTGACTGTTTACATACTGTATGTATATTTTTCCTCTTTCCTTTTTTTTAACTAAGAGCACTACATTATTGCCAGTGGATGATTAACTTTATAGCAAAGGTACACATAAAGAGTTATTTATCTAGTTTGCATGACATGTAACCTTTGCCTGTTGCCTCTGATAATGTGCATCTGAAAAACAAAACATCAAAAACAGTTGTAACTCAATGCCATAGAATGTCAGCTCAGACTTTTTGCCTCTATAACCATAATAATAAAAGCATTTTATGTCTACTAGTACTAAACCCTGCGGACTCTTGGTATATTAGATATAAAGCCTTCTTCATGCTGTCGGTGTGATGTGTGTGTGGGTGTGTGTTTTGGGAGGTTACTGCAGTGATTTTAATCTGCTTAAGCTAACAGTGCTATCTAGTGGTGTTAGATTGTATATCTCACACCATGTTGTCCTCCATAATGACCCACAATGGAGGACGCTATCAAAGGAACACGGTTACAAGATGGGGGAGGGCTGCAGTTCACTCGGGAGATTTATTCTTCTCTCTGTGCCCTTCGCAACGTCCGAGGGCATCCCGGGATCTTTAGATCTGTGCCAAGAAGTGAGAGAAGTACTCCCCGTGAACTTAAAAGGGACAGAGTGTGTAGTTTGGTATTAATAGTGTTTTACAGAAGGCTCAACTGTGAGTTTTCACTTCCTTTGCAATCTGACACATTTAGGTAGTTTCCTGTCACATTTCAGATACCAACAAATACAATACATGCAATTTATGGTGAACATTTTCTGAGTGAGGTATCCCCTACATTTTTTCCACGATGGCTTATAAACTCTGATTAGTAAGGTGTTTTACATGCATGTAAATGCAAAAACTCATACAGCTGTACAGGTTTGGTTCATACTGATAATTTTATTTGGTGTATTTACAAACAAGCACATGCAGGAGGTGGACAGTGACTGACACTAGAGGGGTACTGAACTATGTGCAATAGTAGGACACGGGGATGTCTACAAGCTACATGACAACAGAGAGAAAAAGAGAGGAGGAGGAGGAAGTACAGAACTCATTGTTACACTTACACACACACACACAAGTGAAAGTGCAGGATGTGCAGACACACAGATGTGCTCACACTCATGTCTGCTTTCACTACCACATACACTGCCATGTGCACGCTCACTCGGGCGCACACACACGCACATTATGAACCCAGATAGATAGAGAGACACTAGATGGGTCAGATAGAGCCATTCCTTTCAGAAACCTCAAGATCAATAATTAGTACATCCAATAAATTAACAGCTTTCAAACAAATGCATTTGGACTATAACCTCACGTTTGAAAAAATATAATAACAAACAAAACAAGAAATTATCGACAATTTAATGTCAACTGATAGTTTACCTTTATCTATACTTCTGTGTGAGCATAAATTACACGTTATGAACACTGGCTTAACTTAATGCTACTGGACAGTTGCCAGAGTGACAGCAATGTCATGCTACATGGCATTGACACAATAACATGAGGAAACTTTGAAGAACTGAGATTTCCCTGATTGATCAATAGCAATGAAACTTTCCTGCTGAATTAAATGGAGGTCAAGTAGCCTTTCCTGACCAGTTAAAATCAGGTTCGTTCATATGAACTTTTAACTATTTACGCTATTGTTTTAGGCTTCAGGCGTCAACTTGAGAACAACAACAACAACAACATATCAAAACCGTGACAAACAAAATGCTTCCGGTTGTACATTTAACCATATGCATAGTCATCAATACAGAATAACTAATAAATATATGACACAAAGCAATGTGTTTCATATGGGCAACATTAAGACTCAACATATCATTTCCACCACTACCACATCATTAATATCAATGATTATGATAAGCAAACATGGCAGGAAGGGTAAGGATAAACACAAAAGCTGAGGTACAAGGTGAAGACCAGCCACCAAACCCACAGACTTTACAGTAGCGTTAACGAATTACACATCTGGGACTTTCTTACTGCATTCAATTTTAAGGTCAGATAGTGTTGAACAAGAGCTGAGCATAGTTTTGTGAGGCGTTTATTCCAACAAATGTTGGCCTCCTTGAGGTCTCTGGACGAGTAGAGAGATGAGCTACAGATTGCTGTTGTCTGATATTATCTTCTATAACTGTGTCTATATCTGATAGATAGATAGTTTCTGGCATTCATTCAAAGCATTCATGGCACATTACAATGCATACAGTGTTTAAGGTATGAAGCTAAATCTGAAGTTCGTATGAATATGATGTCAGAATGGCAATACATAAAGCACGAAGGAGGGAAAATACTGGATTTTGTACTTAAAACAACACATATACCGTTTTTCATTAAACCACTTAATGTGTGTGTAAACTTGTAAAGATAAAGACTGAATCCATTGCTTTTTTATCATCTACTTCCTCAATGTGGCCACAGTATTAAGCTGCTGCTTATGTTTTACTATCTGCTTTCTCTTGTTCATCTATCTATCTATTTATCTATCTTGGTAATATCAATCATCTCAATTTATATACCTATATATATTTTTTATGTATATTTATACAGTCAAATAGAGTAGCAGAAACATGTCAAACACACATGAACCAGGCGATAAAGGTGAGAGGTCAATAGAACACAGATCTACACAGCTACAATTCACTACATTACTACGCAGTATGCAACAGGAGCTACGGCCCAGTACTCTAACATGCTTTCTCCACTCAACAACCTGTGAGCCGCGACTCTCTACAGCTGATGGCTAGAGATATTAACGTGGCTATTACCAGGCTGTTGACTGTCGCCTCCTCAAATAGGCAGCCGCTGATCTGAAAGCACTTGAATCTGCTCGTGGTTGGTAGCACAGAATTTCCCCTGTAACCATTCTCAGATCAGTGGCTGACAAGGAAGGCGGAGATTGAGAAAAGGACATTGAAAGGGATACTTCACTCTGAGATCAAAAGTCTTCCAGTATGAAATGATCAAAATTTGACTTGAGTCATTATTTCACACCATCTGCTGCATTCCTGCTGTTTAAATCCATTAGTTTAATGCTACCAAACTGGGTGGATTGTGATGGAGAAAAAACTGCCATATGTTCATAAAGAGAGAGGGCTGCAGACTGCTTGTGATGCACGTACAGCAGAACAGATGGTGTTATGCACTCAACTCAAACTCTAACCAAGCAAGCGTAAAATATCCCTTTCAGAGTAGTGGAGCCTCACCATAACCTCTCAATACTCGCCTAAAATATATATATATTTTATTTTGTTTTTTTTAATGATTGAGTGCAGCTGTTATGGTGCCGAAGTCACATGATGAGGGAGGTGTAGCCAATAGGTACGAGCCCCTCATTGTCTCCCTGACGACAGCGGATCCAGTCTTGATCGACTCCTCCTAACACCACGAGTTCCTCCCCTTTGCAGAAGCTGAGCTCCGAACCTACTCCAGTGTGGTCACACAGCGTTCGTACTGACCTGAGGACAGACAGCAGACATTCTCAGCCAAAATGGTCTACATACACACCAACCACAAACAGTGACATCATTTCCAACATAGCCGAACCTTGGATGAGTCAGAAAGCAGGATCGCTCAGTCAGACTGTCAGTAATGACAAAACAGGCGCAATCCTGGTGTCTCCTACACCCACTGGTGCTCTTGGAGGGGGGATGGAAGTCATTTTAAAAAAGGAAAAAACACGCCAAAACTAGATACCCTGAGGCAAGTGTACAGAGTGCGCGTTAGCTTATATTTATTGAAGTATTTTTTTTATTTTACCATCCACCTGCAATTTGATTTTTTTATGCCACACCCTAGCCATGGATAAAGGCGCATTTCTTTTCTTTTTTTATTATAGTCCTTTAAAGTTTGAGATTTTGAAACTATAATATTGCTTTCTCATCAGCCCATCAATGTTGTCGAAAAGCTAGAACATAAAGGCCCAAAATGTGACATTACTCTAAATTTTTTATTAAATTAGAGTGAAAATGAGTTGTGTCTAAAGAGAAACTTAGGGTATGATTTCCCAGTTCTACGATTTGAACCCCTTATGGAGATATTAGAGGCGCAGTGGGAACAAGATCTGGGTGCTCCACTTTTGAATGAGACTTGGAAAGCAATCCTTGAACAAGTACACAACTCTTCCCCCTGTAGTACACATGGACTCATGTAATTTAAGAGTTTTCTCCTTGTCCACCAAATTAAATTGGGTCTCAGAGCACAGAGGAATTTTGTACTATTGTGTACATTTTTTGTATAACACCTCCTTTTGACCTTAGATTATAGCGCCAACATATGGTTCTGTCAAAATTGGGAGACTTTTGTCTGAGAATTCCAGTTTGATTCAATTAAGTTTGTAATATTTTGAATAATAATAGACTCTTCTGGAAAATTTTTGCTATTTTTTAAAGCTTGTAAAAATGGCGAAAATGTACCATCCTTCCAAGTTGAATGAAAACTGAATAAGCGGTCTGAGATATCAACTGTGAGATAACAAAAGGCAGATTTATCCATGACCCCCTCTATGGCTGCATCTCAGCCAACACAAATGCAAAAAAACAACAAAATAAATCCACCCTCCATAAACATCACCATCACTTTGTGTTGTACCTGAGTGGTCTGGGTTTGTCTTTCATCTCCAGTGCATCTACTTCTTTTTCTGACTCTGGCTTACTTTCTCCGTGGTGCTCCGGGGCCCTCCTTATTATCGGGGTGGAGCTGCTGCTCACTATTCGGGTTAGTGCAGTGACACCAGGGGCCAGCCACTGAGAGGGACGCCTGCAGAGACAGACAGAAACAGGACGAGAGGAATTGAAAAACAGAAAGCGAATGTGGGACAGATGGCCAGAGAAGAATCACAGAAAGTTTCCAGTCGTGCAGAAAATATCCATGGAGATTTTGGAGTTTCTGACAGTCACAACAAGGTTTGAATTCACAAATGCATTACTTTCTCTCTAGCTAAAGATGTAAAAGTCAGTATATGTGATGCATTCATTGGCTAACCTGGTTGGTGGTGTGTGACCTGGTGGGCTATTGGGGCTTTTAGAGGCTCCAAAGAGCCGCCCCAGACCCCAGGGAACCTGAGCACCACTGCTGACCGGCGCAAAGTCACTCGCTGCCTGGGCCTGGAGATGTGGCAGATCTGTCTTCATCTCCTCCTTTTTCAGGTTCAGCTCAGCGAGGTTCTGGCTCAGTCTGCCTCCCCAGCGCATCACAGCCCCCCATCCCTGCTGGATCACCTATGATTAAAAAGAATTTCAGCCCTGCAGGATGACACAAACATATTTGACTACAAACACTGAACAGACACACAAGGTAAAGTACCTGTCCTGCCTGCTGAGCAAGGCTGTCCTCCTCAACATTAGGAAGAGGCAAGTCTTCAATTTCCTTCTCCTGCACCCACAGCAGCTGAGGGCTTGTCTGCCCTAGAGCGACTGAAGCCTTTATGGGTGCAGCACTGCTATGTGTTGACTGCCCTGATCCTCCGTTCTTTGGATTAGCTAATGGTGACGATTTCTCTTTGGCTGCCTGATGTTCTGGGCTTCCAAAGTTTACTTCTGACAGGCTTCTGCAGCCTGTGGGTTTGGTTGTGGACCCCTCTGTTGAGAGCTGGAATCCAGCATCCTGACAAGGTGGACTGGGGATCTCTGGACTGTGACTATCTGGCTCTAAATGGTGGTGTTGGAAGAGCAGGTCGAGGTTGAAGGTCAGCAGGCTGAGAGGCTGCAAAACGAGGAGCAGCTCCTCGAACAGAGACTGGCAGGTGGTCAGTGACAGACGCATAAAGGAGGTGGGACGGTAATACGTCTCCAGGACATCTGGGAGGAAGTGAGATTGCTGTTACGTACATGCTCGCCCACAAGAATGGGATGAGATGAAGTGAAGGAAACTTACCACTGCAGGACTGAAGGTGAGACAGCCAGAAATCAAGAAGTTTGGTACTAGAAAAAAATAGAGATAAGAGAAAACTGAGGACACAAAGAGGAGATGTGCAGGCAAATAAATAAAAAATCTAATTATATTTTCAAACAACTGATGACAGAGCACTTTTCATGCTACCAGAGAGGGTTAGGAGCCAGTACTTACTTCAGCAGGCCAAGGAGGAATGCATTGAACCTGTGTTTGCTCTGTCTCAGCTGGGGCAGCTCTCCAACTCGAACTTGTAGGTTAAACAAGGCCTGTGTTTTTGGACCTTGAAAAATGGGTTGAGAGGAAGAGGAAAAAATATATACAAAGGGAGGGGGAGAGAGAGAGAGAGAGACAGAGACAAAGAGAGAGAAAAGAATCAACAGAGGAGAGCCTTGCTGTGAAACTTGGCACTCACAGGCCAATCAATATCTGCATCCTGTTTTTCGCTTTATTCAGCATTTTAGACACTAAAATCAACCAGTATTGACTGATGTGTGGGAAAATGAGAGACAGAAAAAGTCCAGGGTTTATCATTATCATCCAGGGGGGTGGAAAAAACCTAATATTAAATCTATATTCATGTCTATAAATGCAAATTTTCCTATAATCCTTGGCGCGCTACCTGGTCTGGTTGAAGTCTGGACCAGACCCCAGGCGGAGTTTGGCCTCCTTCCTGCAATCAGGTCACTCTGGTGGGGTTTCAAGCCATCGGTCAGCAAGCTGTGCAGGGCAGGGCAGAGGCACTGCAGCACCAGCCGGCCCAGAGATGGATTTATAGTGCTGTCTCCTGATAAGGCCTGAGAGGAGAGGAGCAGAGAGGAGAGGAAAATGGGATAGAGTGAGGAAGAAGATGTGCAGTGATGAGGGCAACAGGGGAATAGATCAGAGAGGATGACTCAAGAGAGGGAGGGAAGGAAAATGGGACACATAAATGGGGGTTTGAGAGAAATGGGGCGATGAGGGACGATATGATGTGAGAGGTGGCTGTTTTGGGGGATTGGGGTGGTGGAGTTAGTTTACAAAGAAATTCTTAAGACTACGAGGTTGGGTTATCTAAAGATATTCTAGTACCTTGTTAACTGAGAGAGACTGAGGAGAGACGGAACAAAATATGTAGAGTCAGAACAAGAGGGAAGGGAGGGAAAGCATTTTCAAAGATATACAGTAATACAATTACATTTTGTTTCTCGATAAAGAGATTTGCTATTGAGTGAGACAGAACACAACATAGTAAAACAAACAAAAACAGGACATATTTTATTTGTCTTATTTCTGTTCTACAAAAACCCACTCGTGATGTAAATTCAGCAGTGACTGACCTTTTGAACTACAGTCCGAGAAGAGCTGAACTGGGCCAAGATGGCTTCCACTGCCACACTGACAGCACTGACCAGAGCTGGAGGGAAGAAAAATGGTCTACAGTTAAACTGTAGGAGCTACAGACATCAGGGACAAGGCTACGCACACAGGTGAGAAGCACACCTTTTTTTTCCTGCAGGCAGAAAGAGGACAGGCCCAGACCTCTCATTGGATGCTTCACATCTTCGCCCATCCAGGATGTCTCTGTCCTCTGTACTGAGCCCGCAAACGACACACTACGAACAGCTGACAGTGACAGTAAAGGAGCAATTACTTACTGTGCAAGTATATATATAAAAAAAAAAAGAGTAAAATAACATAAGTAAAATGAATCACCACAAACTGGCCTTAACTAAAATATTAGTGTTATTAGCAGGAGCAATTAGGCAATGAGAAGCATAGGAGTAGGCAGATAGAAGCAGATGGTACTAGCGACAACAGACAGTGGGTGACGACGTCCTGTAAATATTGGTTTTCTGTGGTGGGCTTTCAACATCTGGATCTGTGAAGACAACTTCCTGTATGCATCAGGGATAAACCGGATCATCCCATGCACTGATCTTGACTCACACTGGAGCACACAAATTCCATTGGTGTTTATGAAACTCATACAAACACTCATACATACTTACTATAAGTCAGGTCAGATACAGTTACAGACATGTGCAAACGACAGGTATTGTGTAGGGTGTGATGTTTATATAAATTGATTTATATAAACTAGTTATATAAATACAAACATTCTTCTAATGAACAGGATGCAGTGGACCTTAATTACTTTGAAACTGCCCTAAATGTACAAACACACAGATAAAAGAGGTTAACTTAAATACAAATTCTTTATGTTACAAAATCAACAGCACAGTACTTGGGTTGTGCTTGGCATGAAATGCATATGTCCATTTCAACACACCATGCAAAAACAAAAACTAAACAAAAACAACAGGGAGACAGACCGGACCAGGCCGACACAAAGACAGACAGATAGAGGCAGACTAAGAGAAAGAGAGTGATGAGAGTGACTCTGGACACCCTCTGACAGGAACAGCTGTTACCCTTCTGCAGGCCCTTTGCAGATTTGAAAAGACAGCGTAGATAAGATGTATCAGATGACCTGCAGGAAGCTGCCTTCTGATAAACAGCTACGGTTACCCAGTTCTTTCAAATCTGCAAATCCCTCAGGTTGAAAAAGTGACAAAAGTGTGAGGGCCACCATATCCAGAGCACAGAATAAAGACAGAAACAGACAGACATGCGTGCAAGCAAAATGTCAGACGAAGAGAGAGTGTAAGATGTAGGGAGAGAGAAGAGAGAGAAATCTTACTCGCCACGCGTGACTGCGGAGGAGCCTGGTAGAGTTTTGGGGGTAGGGGGGGTGCCCTGGGCGGTATAGGAGGGTAGAGGTTTGGATAGTAGAGGGGAGCAGCGAGGGCAGGCAAGGTGTGAGAGCGGGGAAAAAGCGGGGAACTGAGGCAGGAGCCTGCTGCGCCTGGAGGGGGCGCACCTGAGCGCTGGGGAGGGGAGAGGGCTCCGATAGGGGAAAGGCGAGGGGGCGCACCCCTGTGCAGAGGGCAGTTTTTAGGGTGGTACAGGTAATATGTGGGGAGAGGAGGAAGCTCTTTAGATGTCCTGGCCTTGTTGCTGTTGGGGTCTGTGTGTGAGTGTTTTCCAGAGTACAGCGAATCCATACCATTGACACTGTTTGATAATGTCATCATGACATCAATGTTCTTATATGGGGTGGTGCAGCCTTGAGCCTCTGTGGTGCCACTAACAGGTTTGTCTGAATTGGTGTGTGTGTCACTCTGCTTCTCTGAGGCACTACAGTACAGAGAGTCAAAATTAGAGATAGAGTCAGACTCAAAGTCCCTGTGTGTGTTAAAGATATTCCCATAATCAGGAGAGTCTACATCACAATCAGCCTGGGATTCATAGTTAAACCCAGAGCTCAAATCCGTACTGGAATCATCTCTGTGTATAGCAGCTGAGCTGGCAGCAGGGGCCCACTGTGTGCTGCAATATTTGTCTGTGGACTCCCTGCCTACGTGGCTAAGGGGTCTAGGATCTGCAAAGGGCTGGGAGTTACAGTAGCCTGGGCAATAGGAAGGGAAGGCAGTGTGGAGGAAGTAGGGTTGGGAGGACTGGGCGAGAGACAGTGGGGGGGAGGAAACTGCTTATTGTAATGGGTAAAAAGGCCAAATATTTTAAGGTGCAGGTGTCAGGAAGGAGAGGGCAGGCGCACAAGCAATATGTGATATGTGGGAGCAAAGCGGAGCCATGGACAAACAATGAAAACAACAGAATGGGATGGATAGGTGAGAAAAATGAGGAAGATTAAAGTAAAAAAAAATGTGGCAAAGAAATGGGAAGGAGAGAGAGATGCAGAAAATGTTAGTGTCTGTTGAGAGAAAAATGCACATTCATGAGTGTATTCCAGCAGAAAATCGTCATCATGTAACATCATGCAGTAATGCAGTATTTAAACAGTTGATTGACAGTTACAAACCGACAGTGCATGAGAGTCAATGGAGTTGATTTATGAAGAGCTATAACCACAGTCTTTCATTTAAGAGGGTTTGACACAACAGGAAATGATATTGTGGCCATAAAGGAATAACTGTTAAGCAGTCTCAAAGCTGCACAGTAGAAATACTTAATCTGTCAATCAGCCACTCATTCAATGACACCATAATTAAAAAGCTATCATGAATCACACCGATGTATCATCTTAGGATCCAAGTTTTCTGCATGACATCTGGTTTCACTTTCATTCTATACTTGAATTCAGAGTTATGAATATTAAACACACTGGGTGCCAGTCTTTACGGTTTTGTACTTTACTGCAGTGCGTGCCATCATCACCTCTGGATCACCTTCTCTCTCCCTCTCTTTCTCTTCTCTGCCTTTGTTTTCTACCTCTCTCCAGCTCCGTCCCCATCACCCCTCCCGTCTCCACCAGTACAGCATACAGTGTAATGCTGAGTCAGTCAACAGATAGCAGAGTTGAGCGTTAATGCTCAATCACCATGTCAGTGTCTCTGAACATTCAGAGACTGTGGCAACACAATTTTCAGTACATTCAATTACCTGTGACAGACTGCTTGGCTATGGGCTACAAAATGAGCTAGAAAGCAACCATACCTTGGTTAGACTTGAGCTGTCTTTGAACTGTAACATACTCATGATACTTCCTATTTTGACTAACACTAGCTCTCAGCAATTGGTCCATGTACTAAGATCCACCCCTTGGGCTCTTAAAGGTGTACACACATATTTGTGGCTTATACCCTCCCAGCTTGTTGCAGTGATTTGGGGGAAACTTCTGCAGCAGTAATTAAATTCACTTTTCTGATGAGAAAGCAAAGGTAAATTAACTATACATCAATCAGAGAACTAGTTTTACTAATAAAATTAGTAGCAAATTGGCGCTGGGTGATTTAAATTAAACATACACCCTACTGTCTCTCGACTTTGACAATGTAATTCTTAGTGCATATAGTGTACTGCAGCACTGTATTAGATAAGTAACTTGATCTTAGCTATCTGTGCCACTCTAGGGAACAATGGTAGGGTGGGGTGGTAGACGGACAGGATAGACAACAAGAGAAAATCATCCCAACTTGATGGGATGTAAAACCAGTAAAGAGGCAGAGAAAGAGCGACAGGAAATTATTTTAGGATACAAAGACAGAAAAAAAGAGAAAGTAGAAGAGTCCAGCTGAGAATGAATGGTAAAAAGAAGTAAGAGGAAGGTAGTGGGCACTCCATTATCCCACCTCCCCTTGGTCTGAAGAGTGGATGAATAATTGAATAAGGCAATGATGACATCACACTCTGATAACCAGCGCAGGAAAAACTGTCTGGAAAGTTTCCAACCTCCTCTTTCTCCTCAAATTACCTTCACTCCCTTCACTGGCTTTATCCCTCTGTCTCTCACTGTTCCTCATGTTCTGTCTCCAGCTTCTACTGTCTTGTTCACTTCCCCTCTCACCATGAAATCACTGTCTGTTTATCCCCCGACCTCATTTATCCATCATGTCATCCCTTTCTGTGACTCTTCGCTCTCATCCCATATATCATTTCCATAAGTGAGTCAACATTTTTACCAACATTTTTGTTTTCTGTTTCTTTATATTGTACTGGGATGCTATTTGTGCATCACTGAGAAAGTGACCAAGCGGACTGTCAGTCTGTCTTTCCCATATATGCTTCTCTACATCATCTGACCATGCCAGATTTGTTGTGTCGTCCAAATTACCCTGAGTTACTTTGATGTGTTTATTTTCTTCCATACACACACATAAATGCATTATCATTAGCATCACCATGGACATTCATACTCACCCGTAGTTCTTGATTCAAAAGTCCTTTCTCCATCAGCTCGTCCTCTCACCTCCACCTCTTTCTCCTCTTGTTTTTCTTCTTGTTTTTCTTGTTCTTGTTCTTCTTTGCCTTCCTTCTCCTCCCTCTTAACTTCATCACACTCCCACTCTCTGCCCATGGTCCACAGGCTGCTGTCACTCACTGAGCAGCCAATCTTCTGTGATGGGCACAGCTCCGGTTGTCCACCCTCCTTGTCCGCTCTCTGGAGCATTTCCTTCAGGGCAGCCATTGAAGTGAGGGCTGGTGGCGGCTGCATGAAGAAGGCCTGAGCCTGAGAGGTGTACTCCCATTGGTTTCCATCGCTGCCCACCGTCTCTCTTCTCCACCTCAGGTTGTACAGTATATCTGGATCTGGAGTAATAACTGTTGGGTCAGGATCTGGGTCAGTGATCACCTTTGTTTGGGGGGAGGCGTTCTTGCTGCGGAAACGCATCTCTTTAAAACTTGTGACCTTTGGAGCTGACCCTGGAGCTGACCCTGGAGAACTGAGCTTCTTTTGAGCTTCCATATGAGATTTTCTCATTTCCAGGGGTGGGGCTTCACCATCAGGTGTAAATGCTATGAGCCAATCAAATCGCTCAGGTTGTGTAGAGTTGGCAGGGAGAGTGCTGACTTTAATAGATGGCAAAGATGGAGGGATTGGGGGTAAAGGACGAGGTGGAGGAGGAGGTGGAGGTGAATCTGGTAAATCAGCGGGGTACTGGAAAGACTCATATTCTTTGCTTTTAGCTTCATGTGTATTGCTAAGACCAGTGCTGTAGTAAAGGTCAGAGGTTAGACCGCTGTTCCTCTTCCTTCGCCTTGCCATCTCAGTGAATGTGGTGGTTCTTTGTGTGTCTTTGCCTTCAGCTATATCTACTCTTCGATCTGCATCCAACTTGCTTCTGCTGCTCCATCCATCTTTAGTCACCAGCCCAGTGTCACATTCCTTCTCCTCCTCTCTCTCTTTCAGTCTGAACTCATATGGCTCCACAGACCTGGACGAGACAACATTATCCCCCTCGTCCTCTAACCCTCCAACACAAACACCAAGCTCTGGGCTGAGTTTGAGGAGCTCAGCTTGGGTCAATCCAGCGAGCATCAGTAGCTTCCGAATCTCTACATCCAGAGCATGGAAGGATGGGGGAGGAGGTAGGGCAGGTGGGGGTGGTATGGCAGGAGGAGATGAGGAGGATACTGATATAACTGGTGGAGGAGGTAGAGGTGGGGGACGTGTGGTAGGAGGAGGAAGGGAAAGGGGGGTTTTATCCTGTTCGGCTTGAAGAGCAGCGAGTCGCTGTGCCTCCTTTCTGGCAAGGTGACGCCTCCGAGGTGGAGGAATGGGAGGAGTCGGGGTGGGGTTAGATGGCGGTGGAGAAGTAGTGGTATAGAGGGTGAGGTAAGGGACCGGTTTAGAGGTGGGGAGAGGAGGAATGGACGGTGGAGATGGAGGCAGTGGTTTCTCACACCTAAAAGTGGTGAATGTGGGGGATGAGGAGTTAGGGGAGAAAGTAGACAATGTAGGAGAGGTGGAGACAGCCATGGAGGTAGTCTCTCTGCTGATATTGATGTAGGTGTGGAGGTCAGAGCTTACGCTGGCATGACGCGCGGGAGGTTTGGGGGGTCTAGGTGGCGGCTCGACAGGAGAAGGGGTGAGGGAATCAGGAACCAGAGGTTCGTCACAGTCTGATGGAGCAGTGAGGTCAACGCCTGCATCTGAAAACTCCTGAGAGTCTCCCATTGTTCCTGCTCTGCTTTTATACAACTTCCAGGGAATGTCGATGTTGCCCATTTCATCCATGACATCTGAGAGATCCTGCTCTTCCAGATCTCCAAGATCAAATCCCTTCTCGTGGAGTCTGGCAATGTACGCCAGTTTTACTTCCCTGTTCACCTTCTCTAAGCGATCCAGGTGGTCTAGCCGATCCCTCAGAACATCCCAGTGCTGTTCCCCCTCCAGATCCCAACGAGCCACTTGGATCACCTGGCTGAAGCGCTCCATTTTCCCAAACTCCCCTACTGATTCTAGAAAGTCAAGTAAGCCTAGTTTAGTGACTTCAGAATCACCTTTGACTCCCAAGTAGTCAGGAGAAGGGGAGTCAAGGGCAGAAGGGTAGCCCTCATCTGGGGAACAGGGGGAAATTGGGGAATGTGATGTTAAAGAGAAGGGATTCCGGCTAAGGGATGGGGGTAAACGCGCAGGAGCCTGGCATTCAGGGGCTTGTGGAACACAGTTGTCTTTGGGGGACAGAGGGACGGATAGATTATCTTGGTCGTGGGAAGAGCAGATGGAGGCAGACTGATCTGCACAGTCAGGCTCCAGATCAGAGCAGGAGCTGATGGAAGTGGAGGATGAGGAGGTAGAGGAGGAGAGCGAGAGCTCCAGGAGGGAGGGGGGACAGTCACAGCACGAGGGGACCAGGGTGTCATCATCTTCATCGTCGTCATCATTGTCAGCCTCCTCTTCATCATCATCAATATCAATATCCCCACTGCTCTCTTCCTCGTCGTCTTCTTCCTCTACTTTCACATTTTTCTTGTTGTCCAGATCCGCGCTTTCATCTGCTTTCTTGTCCTCATTTTCCAGACTAGCGGCAGGGCAGGCAGAGGGCTTCAGCTTGGCCTGTGCTGGCGAGGGAGGCTCAGGCTTCTCTTTGGCCCCTGTCCCATCCTGCCTCTGGGGCAACGGGGCCGGAGGAGGCGGTAGCTTCAGTTGCTGCCTGAGAGAGATGGTGTTGTTGTTGTTGTGGTTATGGTTAAACATACTGTTGTTGTCTTGTGGGGAGCGGCCGTCGCAGCACAAACATGGGAGGCTTGGCTCATTGCAATTCGGGTCAAGAGGGAGAACAGAGGGAAGCAGAGGAGGAGTGGCTGCTGGTGCAATTTGGGTTGCCGCCGTTGCACGGGCATTCTTGAGTTTGGGCTTAGCTGATTTGGGAATGGTGGAATTCTGTTTTTGTGAGCCAAACCTGGACTGGCTTATTGGTACGCGAGGCTGCACTCCCACCCTTGTTCTGGTGGGTGCAGTGGGGCCTTTGGTAGCCCGGCGTGGGGAGGACGTGCTGATCGTGTTCATGTTTTTATCCTCCCTCTGAAAACCAGGGCCATGAGACTTTGGTCCAGCTAAGGTAGTGGTCCGTCTGCTGACGTCAAAGCGCCGTGGCTTTGAAGGCTGAGAGGAGCAGCTAGAGGACTGCATTGTGGGAATGAGACTTCTTCGGATACTCTGATATTTCTGTTGCTATAGGAACAAGTATTGTAAAGGCTGGAGAGATCCAAACTATGACGCGCTGTGACGGTCACATCTTGGCTTGAATCCCAAGATCCTGTAACATCAAAGAAGACACAGTAAATAACAACTACGAGCTAATTCAGCTATTTAAAGACAGTGTTCTTGCTCCAAACATGTTCTCACATTAGGCTAAGTCTTACTAAGTTAAACCCATCACCTGGACCGTTCATTAAAAATTCTATTTGGGTTTTAAAACTTTTAGGTTTTCCTGTCCTGGGAGGACACAGCAGTGACATCAACACGCAGTGACATCAACACATGACTTTGTTTTCAAAGTCATTTATGAAATCTTTGGGTTTTGGACTGTTGGTCGGACAAAACAAGACATCTGAAAACATTACCTTAGAGTCATCACCGTGGAAAACTGTGATGGTCATTTATAACTTTTTTTTGACATTGACAAAATGCTTAATTTCTTAATCAAGAAAAGCATTGACAGATGATAATGAAACAAATGCTAGTTGTAGCCCTAATGTTACAATTTTTTGAGCAATCCAGTTTTTTTAAACATTGAGATGCCATGTAATTTGGACTTGAAATAAAAATGTACATAACATTAGTGCCACTCAATTGGTATGTAGGTTTTCTGCAGGGTCCATGTCTAGGCTACCTTGTTCCATCTGTTGTATTATTTCCTTGGTTATCTAGACATCTAATCAAATTCAAACACCCACCCACACTAATTGTCAGCTAATTTATAGCTCAATATCTGTCACTCATTATCTTCATCATTTATGTTACTAAGCAGTGATATTCATGAGTTTACAGTAGTAGAGCTGTGTCCATCTGTGCCAGTCCATCCTTACACAAGGCAGTAAGATCTAGATCAGAAGAATGCCATTTAAAAAAACACGGTACATAAAGCAATGACTGAACATAAAGCACATTCAACTGGAGCATGAAATAATCAGGCAGCAGCACTGAACAACACTGAATCTGCCTTTTTAAAGCCCACCTACCGAAGGCTATTGCTCATATATTCCTCCACAGTGCCCTTCACATAACTGAAGAATATTCAGCACTCAAGTGCTTGCTTACACTGGGCCTTTTGTCACAATGACCATTAAAGCCAAAAAAGCCTTGAAATAAAACAAAAACAGCACATCAGCATACGTAATTTAACCCGTCCTGTGCACAGTTTTTACCCCTGCATTTATTGATCCCACAGAGCTGATGTAGACAGGGAGGATGGGAGGAGAAGGGGGAGGAGGGGGTACCTCCAACCGCATCGCCCTGATATAGGCTACAGGCCCATCCGCCCCTATTATAACTCAAACATTACACATATTAGATACCAATGAAAACGAATTATAGTAATACATTTTCTCTTAAATTTATTCAAAAGTATTCCGCTGTTAAAAGCGTTATTGCATGTTTCATGACCTACGCAGGCTCCGTGCTGGAATAGGATCGGGTGTTTTGACTAGACTATGCAGATTCATTTCAAATAAAAAAAATAGCCTACAGCAGGACAGAAAATAAAAAATAGGACTCGACTCACAATCAGATTCAGGTGAAGATGGATGAAGGTCTCCATCTCATCGGGCTCTCTCACATCCCAGTCCGTGTGAATATGAGTCTGTCTCCGACGTTAACAGCCTCAGCATCGGTCTTCTCGCGAGCATTCAAGAAACCATCGCCCGACCCTCCACCATCAACCCCAACCAAACCACACCCCTTGCTTGCCATATCATCACATCCAATTCATCTTGAGTCATTTTCAGCTTCACCTCCTTCAAATAATTACTTTGGAGCCCTGCGTTATAAGAGGAGTGAGAGAGGAGTAATTTCCTTTAATTTTTCTTTATCTGCAATTGATTAATGCGATTATTAGTCTGTCTTAAAGGAAGTTGGTTAATATGCAAGCCTCACACATAGCCAACTATTGCTACTACTTATTGATTAATCTGTGGACTAGATAGATGATCAATCGATTGTTCAGTAAATAATATATTAGAAAATAATTAAAAAGGCCCATCATAACTTCCCAGAGGTAAAGATGATAAAGTCTTCAAAGTGCTTGCAATTTACCATCATACATGACAAGCAAAAGTATTAAATCCTCACATTTGAAACGCTGAAAATTTGAGCACTGTTGCTTGATAAATTACTGAAGTGATTCACTGTCCTAATAGTTCATTTTGTTGTCTATTTTAACCTACTAATCATTTCTGCTCTACAGCCAACACAGACAAAAACATTCTAAATATGAAAGAGACTGGTCATAAATTATTTATTAAAAGCAATAACATTCAGGCCAGTACAGACTTGATAGCATCAATATAAAATTATATGGAATTAGAGGGCTGACCAGGTTTAACAGTATGTCATCAATCAGGGTACATCTACTGTTATATATGCTGTCCCCCTTTAGTCCCTAATCAATTTCTACATCTATTCTTACAAAATCAAAACTGTGACTATCTGATTTGATTTGTACCTTCACCCTGCCGTGCATTCCTCAGGGCAGACAAATATGAAATCTAGACCAAACCACGTGTGACTGATTTCAGTGTCGTTCTCATATCAATGGCATTCTCCGATAGAGAAATGTCAGGCATATGGCAGGCATGTACTGAGGAAGTGTACATTATGCACTGGGTTCAATAAATAGATAACAGGCTGTTTGATGACATGCACAACCAAATATCTATAAATCATTTCAAAATTAAGAAAACTGATTTCTAAATATCACAGTCCTGTTCGAGGTCATGCTGTTGGGTGTCACAGGCTTGCTGCTGGCAAACCCGCTATTAAAAAAAATAAATAAAAAAGGGAGAGGAGTTGATCTTGGGTTCACGATAAAAGTCAAAAGGGAACCAGGCTGATGTTCCCTCTCACTTATTCCTCTTGTAGATTTTCTTGGCAAAGTTGAGGAAGACTGAGTGAGGAAGGTTTTGAGCGTGACAAGTGATGAGTTTCTGTAGCCGCTGGTAGCTCTCTTCTTCATATCTTTGGTACAGTGTGGGCATTTGAAGGGTGTTGTACAGTGCTTTGACCTTTTCCACACTAGCATCATCATGGTGTGCGTAACATGCCTAAGGAGGAGATGAAGATGAAATTAAGCTTTGCTAATGTACTAGCTAGTGACTTTAATAGTACTTCTGAAAAGGTGGGATCAGAGGCCAACACGTGCACAGAGGAGTAGAACGATCGTTACCATAAAAGCATGGAAACCCTCGACTAAGGAACAAATTATTACAATAAATTGGCTAATTCTGTTGCTGCAAAGCAATTTTGTTTATTGTTGAATGACGTTTCAGATAAAAACCCCTTTATTTTATGTTTAAGTTCACTTACTTCAAATTAGAGAATCTGTCTGTTGCATACACTAAATTATGGTTTATTATTTTTGCATTCTCTCTGATGTTTTTGTGAAGGAAACTTAACAAAAACCAGCAAAGTAAACTTTACATTATATTATATATTAAGATTATATTCTCATACCATACTTCTTTAGTTTCGTCTGACTGGGTGGGAGCCACAAGATCTGTGCACACAGCTCTGCACATGGTTTGCAGCCAAATAATATCAGCACATATTGAAAGTATTCAAATAGTACAGGTCGTTATCGGAAGTCTCACCTCCAGCTCTGCTCTCTGCTCAGGAGTCATAATTTCCAAAGCCTTCACTACCAGCCAGCTGCATTTGTTATCCTGGATGTCTGTACCAATCTTTCCTGTCACAGCAGGGTCTCCGTAACAGTCTAAGTAGTCATCCTGCAAATGAAACACACGGTTATTAACTCTGCAGCATATTATTCAATATGTGGTGTAAAAGTGGGATGGCGTGTAAAAGTAATTACTTGTATTTGAAAGAACTCTCCCATCTCAAGTAAGATGTGTTTGGCATTATTGTGTTCCTCTTCGCTTTTGATTCCTGCCTACAAAAGAAAGGTACAATAATTATGAGAAAGAGTATGACATTACTTTTCTTACTCCATATTGTGCTGACTGGCCTTATTCTAACCTTCTCAGAGACCAGTGTTGTCGAGCTTTAATTTGCTGCCACCCTTAAATGTCATCACCATCACACCTATGAGCTCCTTCTGTCATGTGCGTACAATATAAAAACACACTCACCATGTACATTGCAGCTGCCACCGGGAGGTAAAAAGAGTAAAAGGCAGTCTTGTATTTCACAATAGCTTTATACCTGAAAGACAAGGAGAGAAATAATTACCTATTTTCTTTGATAACAAACATCCCTCTCTGCAAATTTACATGACATTAAAGTTTACATTTAACTTCACTACCTCTCCATGGTGAATCTACTGAGGTCAATCTGACCCGGGGGAGATGTCATAAGGTCCAGAGCTTGGCCGAGCTCCGTCTGGAAAGATGTCTGAAACAAACAGAGATCCATTAAGGATCATGTTTGTGTGTCTGTGTGTGCCTGTGTCACCAATCAGGACGTATAGTACCTCAGTAAAAAGCTCCAGAAGGTGGACGTAGTAGGGCTGATCCCTGCAATGTCTGCGAAGCAGTCTGTAGATTGACCCTTCCAAGAGAAACGAATCATTGATGGCATTCAGACCTATTCCATCCTTAAAAACAAACAGACAGATTCACCTGAGATACAGAGCACACTATTAATAGTGAAAAGCAAACATCCACTTCACAAACAAAGCCATTTTAGGGTCTCTTTTCCCGAAATGTATCAAGTCTAACCTTCTTGTACCAGCAGGGCTGTCCTCTCCGAGTCACAGATGCATCCATGATATCATCCGCTACGAGAAAAAACGCCTGAAGCTGCAAGTAACAGAGACGCAGTTGTAACACGTACCACCCTTGCATAGTGTCAGTACAACAGTCAGTCTGAGTATGTGTTTGAGAGAGGAAGTTTTGGGCATACTGGGCAGCACAAAATACATCCTTTCCTACCAAGAAAAACCCATCTTTCTGTGTAAAACAGGTCCTCAATCTCATAGAGCTTGAGTATAAATAATAATTTTAAATAAATGAATATGGTTAAGACAAGTTTAGATATGAGAATGATGTGAATTTATTGGTTAGAGGTATAATAAACCACTGTGTCTCTGTTCTATCAAAATAAACTACAGTTTAGTTAATAACTAACCATTATTTTCATGGTAAATTAATCTGTCAATTATTTTCTCCAATAATTAGTTAGTTGTTTGGTATATATGATGCCAGAAAATTGTGAAAGATCAGGGTTTCCCAAAGCCCAAGGTGACATCCTCAAATGTCTTGTTATGTCTGCAACCCAAACACATTAAGTTTACTGTCACAGAGGAGTAAATAAACCAGAAAATATTTACATTTAATAAGCTTCAATCAGAGAATTTTAACTTAAAAAATGGCTCAAACCAATTAATCGATTATCAAAATAGTTTGTGATTCATTTAATAGTTGACAACCAACTGATTAATCGTTACAGGTCTACTGCAGTGCACAGTTAAAAAAAATATTTTTTGGATAACAATGCAGATCTATGGTGCAGAGGAATAGACTACATCATACTGTTTATTAATGGGATTTGATGACGATAAGAAAAATCTGGAATATTGCCAGACTTATATTTTAACATAATACATCCTTACCAACTCAACGCACCAACCAACCAACAGAGCCCGCTGCACTGTGTCCTGTGTGAGCTGACTGGGAGGGAGAAGTTCCCTCAGTGAGCCAATCACAGACAGGCCTCTGTTCCTCTTGCCTCCAGGGGAATTGTAAACCAAAACCTAAGAAAAAAGCATGCAGCTAAATGTCTATGCATGACACATTATTTCGCCATTTCTCAGACGTAACTCAGCAAAAGACAAGACAACATATATACCTCTCTCAGCCTGCTCAGAGCATCAGCCAGCGCAGGATCGGTGAGGTCCCCCTCTGAAAGCTCCTTCACCAGCTCCTGAAACTGGTCTTCAAACAGCTGTGGATCTGACAGCAGCGCCGTTTTGCTGTGTGTCCCATTACAAATGCTGTCTCCCTGGAAAGTAGAGGTGCACAGCAGAAGAGATGTGTTTTTTAACTTAAGAGGGGCGACGGCCAGCAGTGTAGTCCGGATTACTTTAGGGGCATTCATGCCCCAGCTCAGCAGACGTCTCATTCCCAAACCGGTGGTACAAGTGTTCTCACCAACCGTAAAAAAGATGGGCTCACACTTGTTGGACTGTAACGTTACCCTAACTCTTACAAGTTAATCACATAACGTCAATGACTTGTTCCCGTTTAGGAAAACTGCCAGGCTAAGTAGCTAACTATCTGGTCTCACAGCCCCCGAAGCTCACATGAGCTATGAGGATTAGCTAGGTAACGTAGAGTATTAGCTATCAAGTTCCCTTCATGAAAAGAAGCGTTAGCTGACATTAGTTTACATTTTTTCCTGGATCCATTCTGTTAACAAGGCTAGCTACAGCATACCGAATTAAAATATTTTTTCCCATACACATGTCTTTACGTACCATAATTATACTGTCTTGTTATCCCAAACTGTTCAGTATAGTACAGCAAATTCGTTTATCTTCTGTTTCTTCGTATGGCTGCTGAACTGAAGTCTGTGAACGTCTCCTAAAACCAGGATGTGCAGATTGTAGTTCACCGTACCGCCACTGTCCGTTTTATTACAAAACTGCCGAACTAGATTTCCCAACATCCATTGCGAGTGGTGCGTGTGGGCGTGGATTCCGAAGGCTCCATTTGACATTTAACGTTTTGATTGGCCAGCACCATCGAACCAAGATGGGTTTGCACACTGGCTGACCAATAAGATTTGAACAGGCGGGGTTTAAGTGGAGGGGGAGCTAGGGGTGAGCCCACAATCTGGGTGAGCTTCAGCTATTGTAGTTTTACGAGTAGAAAAGAGAAAAATTAACAAAACAGAGACTAAAGAATATTAACCTTACAGTATTGTCTGTTATGTTACCGTTCACAATACGTACAAAACATCAACATAAGTATTTTTATTTGATGTCTATCATTTATTTCATATTTTGAAATACATAACTTGCATTGGAAGTTTTGCCATTGACACTGCATTTAAAATCTGGAATAGGTCTCATATTTAGATACATTTATTATTCAGGTTTAAAGTCTATCTTTTTAAGCCTGCCATACAGATATACATTTCCTCAAATAAATCATGTTTTATGCAAGACAGGAGGTAGAAATACAGCTCAGTGCCTTAATAATGGATTGTGTGGGTGTGCCTGTATCTGTATGCATGCTAAGTGTGTATGCGTGTCATTTTTTAAAATTTGTTACATACATGAGTGTATCCAAAATGTGTGTTTACTGATATGCAGTCAATATCACCACTTAGGGAGCACACCAAAAATACTTTCGAAAGGACAAACCCCCTCAAATCTGACACAAATATTAATACACCCCAAAATCCAGTATCCAGAGCTGCCAGGCCCATCGTATGTGCACTGTCACTGGACTGACAGCAGTCCAAGGCTGTTTTTTGTCATTTAACCACCCATCCACAAGTCAGAAGAGAACCGTGCCAGCACATAGTGTGAAGCCCAACTCTATAACTTTTTAATTTGTCCGTACATTTATTGCAAAAGACTCTTCCTGTCGTCAGAGTCACAGTGCAATTTACACCTCTTTATCTAACAGGATCCGTCTGCTTTAGCCAGTGTCACAGATATGCCTGTGAAACATTTTTAAACCCTCTCAAAATCAAATTAGGATGCAGAGGCATGTTTAGAGCCATCTGGCAGAAGACTTTGGGAGCGCCGCTCAGCTTCGACTCTGACCTTCTCTTTCAGCTATCTATTAACACAAACACATTTCAAATGGCTACTATCATAGTTCTTGGGTGCAAAAGGAAAACAAGTAAGAAGCATTGTCAAAACATGCAGTTAAAGACATTCTGAAGACATGTTACTTTGTTACACGGGCGTTCAGGATTGAATGCACAAGGTTCCTGTTGTATTTGGGAGGCTTTAGCAAAAACATGCACATATGCAAATCAAACCACTGTGTCCAGGGGCCACCCACAGAGAATATATTTCAAATCGCTGAGTGTGTGTCTGTGGCGTGCATTAATGTCAATGTTAAAAATGCTGCCTTTTTTGGAAGGCCAATGTGGAGGTGGAAAACCATTGGAGAAAGTGAAAATAAGAATTGCAAAAAGAAGACGACAAAATCATCAACTCAGTAAAGGGTTTTCCGTGTGACAGCATTTGTCCTCATGTGCAGCCTCAACTGTTTATCTTACATTGTACTCAGCTAACTATGTTTATTGAGATGCATTTTCTTTAATCAATGGAAGACAAAATAAGGATTTCCATGATTACTTCACCTGAAAGATCCTGTAAATAAATAGGAATGTTCAAAAGGGCCAAAAGCAAATTGCAACCCATTATTAAGACTGAATGTACATGTGAGTAAGTTGCTGCAGCAGCATGAATGCTCGTTGAGTTCTGTCTCCAGTCTTGAGGAAAATATGTTTCCAGATGAGTATTGAGAGAGGGAGTGGAGAGTACAGCAGAAGAGATGCTTCTCGTTGGGTTGTCTTGGCCAGTTTATTCTGTTAGAACGGGGACCACACTGCCCAGAAATAAGCATCTACTGACCGTTTCACTGGTGTTGGACAGCGAAATAGTGAGAGCTCTAGGCTGATGTTCAGAGTGATAAAGAGCACCACTGAATAAGTCCATTTGCACAGACTTTCAAAATTTCAGTACTAGATATCTCCACTCCACTAAACTGTCCTAAACACCCTTTTCTTCAACCTCCTTTTTTCCTTCCCTTCCCTGTCTTCCTTACAACCCTGTCAACTTGTATGCCTCCTATTTTCCTCCATCCAACCCTCCTCTCCTCCTTACAGTGCAGACTCAGAGTAGAGAGCTCCTGATGACCCGTGCATCGCATGAGGTGTCACTAATCGACGTAGTGACGCAGAGGAGGAGCTTAAATCTCCACAGCTGCGCAGGTGGATCCCCTCTGGCACCCGACTGCTGTGGTGCCGGTTGTGTCGACTGTCACTGTGGGAATGGTGGTGTCCACGGCGATGAGAGTGATGGGAGTGATGGTTGGGGTGTCCTCGGTTGTTGTTCCACGGGGTCAGCAACACCTGAAGAAGTTTTTATCGAGTGAAGATTTAGACAAAGAGCAGATGGCTTTACTTGCAGAAGAAATAAAATGTAATTAAATTAAGTAAAATTGAATGTCAAACACACAGCTATGTTCATTTTCTTGTTTCGCAACGTACCCCTAATTTGATTTAAAATTCTCAAAGAACCATTTATTCAGAAAAATTATTAAAGAACCATTTAAAAGAGGTTGTTTACTGAACAAGTTGGGACCACAAACAACTTTCTTTGGAGCACCGTTAATGGTGCCTTAAGGAACCATTTTTGAGGGTTCTTTAAGGAAATTCTTGCTAAAAAGGTTCTTTGTGTTAGCACCTTTTTTCTGTGTGTAATTAGAACTTGTCATACTTGTTCAAAGGGCAGGTAGTTGGTGGCAGCGCTCTCAGCTCCACTCCTCCTCTTAGGACCCTGCCCTGTGCTCCCAGCATGCTCGGTGGAGGGCGATGTGTTGCGTTTGGAGCGCTGCAGGAAACGTGCCACCAGACCCCGAGTCACCTGCAGGAAAAGTAAAAAGTAAAGTAAAGCATAAGATTAAATAACAGTCAAACAATAATTCAGCTTTTGCTAAGACTCACATGGGAAGTGTAAACTATTGTAATCATTTGAGTGATGCTTCTCTTCTATTAACAAGTTTCAGACTAACCTTAAGGTCGCCCAAGGAACGGTGGCAGTCTTTAGGTAAATGCAGTGGTGAGGTGGGGGGAGGTTTTGAGGGGACCTGCACCCCTGTGGCTGCTGATTTCATGCTGCCTTTCGTTGGCAGGACGGCAGCTGGAGGTAAAGATGTGCGGGGCAACAGACATGCCTGAGAAGAGGGACCTTTGAGAGACAGTCAGAGAGTCCAAAAAAAAAAAGAGAGGGAAATAACATACAACTAAATGAAGAATATAAGGAGTGAGGTACAGAAGCTAAATTGAAATTCAGGGCTAGCCAAGTCTTAAAGAGGTGGTATTATGCTCATTTTCAGGTTCAAAATCCTATTCAGGGGTTGTACCAGAACCGTTTACATGGTTTAATTAAATTTTTTTGTCATACTGCACATTGCTGCAGCTCCTCTTTTCACCCTGTGTTGAAGGCTTTATTTTAGCTAAGGAGTGATACATCTTGTCTCTAAATGATCTCTGTTAGGAGTTGCACATGCACAGTTCTTAGTTAAGGACTACAAGCCAATCAGAAGCAGAGAAGGGCAGGTCAGCGAAAGGCGGGTTATAGCCAATCAGAAGCAGAGACAGGCGGGTCAGCGAAAAAACGTAAAGAACTTCAATTCAGCTGTAGGCTACATGTTGCTGACCAGCTTGGCAATATGGACTGGAGCAAGAGTTTCAGAGTGGTGAGTTATTAATCTGTAGCAAAAGTATCTTTCATCCATAAAGTTTTAACTGAGCTCTGTCTCTACATCACAGTAACAACTTTATGTCCATTGACTGCTTGGAGGGTAGCTAGTGTTTGGAAGGGAAAGGTGAGGTGTGTTGCAGCTCAGTGTTTTTCTACTGGTGTTTTGAGGGCGTGTCGGACTTGTCCCTCAGCATGCATTATGACACGTATTTACTTGTGACATCACAAGAAAGGGAAGTAAAGGCTGGACTACAAACGAGCTGTTTTCAGGCAGTTCAGAGCAGTGTTTTCTGTGGGAGATGGGAACTCCCTTTGGGCTGGACTTTGGGCTTTTTCATTTTGCAAACCTAGTACATGCACAAAAAAGATATATAACTCAATAAAGGAGAGGGAAAAAGCCAAAAAACATAATACCACCTCTTTAAATAACAAACCAAGTAGTCCTGACACAATACTGAGTTAAAATGCTAAACTTAACTCCCTAACTACATAAAAAGAGGGAAAAGAGAAGGAAACAAGATGGCATCTGTCCCCTATAGAGCTTCATAGCAAAGCGTTAAGCGTGGAAAAAGTTAACTAATTAAATGAACAGCAGAATCTCTACCTTTCTGTCATTAAGTTGGCAACACCATACAAAAGAACTGCGGACAAAGTCCTGATAAAATACCTC